AAGGCATTCTTCAACTTTTTCAATTTTTCTTTTAAACAGAAGCCTTTCCATCCCTGTACCTCAGTCGATTGCCAAGTTTCCTCCACCAATTCCTTGAATCCCGGTTTCTCCATCCACACATCAAACAGTCTAAAAGGTTTAGGGCCCCAATCAACCTTTTCATTTTTCAATATCACTGGACAATGATCTGAAATTGTTCTCTTTAATCCCCACTGTGTCACATCCTCCCAGTTTAACAACCATTCTTCAGACAACAAAATTCTATCAAGCCTGCTTAAAGCAATACCATTTGAGTGATAGCATGTGTATTTTCTTCCAACTAGGGGTAAATCTACTAAACCGGAGTCATGTATAAACTACTTGAACTCCCTCATTCCTCTGACATTTCCACTACTCCCCACCCTTTCATGTTGTGACTTCACTGCATTGAAATCCCCTAGCACACACCAATTTCCCCTGCTTGTTGTGACTACATTTTTAATCTCCTCCCACAACAATCTTTTGCCTTCTATATCACAAGGTGAATACACATTAACAATGTACACAGGCACTTTATTCTGTCCCCAAAATCCAAACACCCCTAAAAAATTTTGTCCTTCAAAAACTTTGTCCTTGATGAAACAATTTGGATCCCAAATGCATAATAGGCCTCCTGATCTGCCACTAGAAGGTTTTGCTACCCATTCACACTCATTCGTACCCCACAAAGCTCTACATACTCTTGTATCCACCCTTTCCATTTTAGTTTCCTGTAATGCCAGAAACTCTATCCTTTCCTTTTTAACTAGATTAAAGATCCCTCTTTTCTTCCCCCCACCCCCTATTCCTCTTGCATTTAAAGATAAAATAATCATTCAGGAGCCAAAATACCTGTTTTATCTTTCTCATCACACTGCTTCCTCAAGCCATCTTTTGCTTTCCGATCTCTGATTTCCATTTGCTCTATCTTTTGGGTAATCGCTTCTTCATTCCCGTTTGCCACCAGCCCAATTTCCTTTGCAGTCTCCCAGATTTCTTTTGCCCCTCTGTGCTTCTGGTTTGCTCGAAGACTTTGGTTCCTCTTCATGATGTCACTGTCACCCACTGAGGCACCTGCTGTCAAACTTTGTGATCCTGGTATAAACTCTGGAATTTTCTCCGTCAAACTACATGCATGACCTCTCTTCCCCTTCCCTCTTTTCTGAATCGCTGCCTCCTTGCATATTCTTGACTTTTTGTAGACCTCTAGGCACAATCTTGCTTTCCTTGCTTTCTTTCTCTTCGGCTTACTCCTCAAATTTTGTCTATTAGCCCTGTCTATCCAATCGGCAGTCCCCCCTAAGTCACTGTCGGTTTCTTTCCAGAAATTTCCTGTAGCCTCCTTTGTATTAATTGGTTTCCCAATATTTCTTTTGTTTTTTTCATCCAGTCCGTCTTCCTTTGTATTAGCATCACTATTTTGAGCCTTTGGGCCCTTTTCAGCCATCAGCCCATTTGGCCTTCCTCCCGAAGGATCTCCCATGATGTCTTTTTCACTAATTTGAGTATTTTTTGCAACCAGCCCATCTTCATTTGGCCCATCAGTTTCTCTTTTGGTTAGCTCGTCATCTTCACCCCTTTCTAGAATTCCCGTGACTTCTCCTTGTGCTTGACATTTATTATCCCTGCCATTGGCCGCCTCTTGGAACTCTAACCACATCAAGCTATCAGGCACCACTTCCAAAGACTCTGAATTCAAATTGCTGGCTTGTGAGAAATCTACCGCCACTCTACTGTCCAATTTTTCTTTTGATTTTCTGTCTTCTTCATCCTCCCTTTGATTTACTGACTTGTCCTCTTCCCTCCAACGTGCAAATGCCACGTCATCATCTGCAACTTTCATTGCATCCTGTTCTTCCACAAAGTGTGAGCTTCTACCCTCAACACCATAAGCTTCCTCTCCATACATTGAATGTGCTTTACTCCCCAACGACCAAGACTCACTATCCTCTGAGTCCTCGTGGCTGCTAATAGCATAATCTGATTTTAATCTAAACAAGTGCTCTGTTGATTCCTCCTCTGTCACCTTGATTTTGTATTGAGCTCCCCTAATTGTGATGGTGACTGGTCT